GAGAACATGAGAATACAGACTATGCCCGAAGACTCAGAGGTCTAGTTGACCAGGGTCATGAGAGTGGTTCAGAAGCTGGAAACCAGGAGGACCTTGTGCAATACCTGGGGAGACCTCCTAGAAGCCATTCTTCCCCTGACAGTACCGGCGGCGGTGGAGGAGTGTGTGGAGTTCCAGAGAGGTCTGCACTGAGATTCATGCTGCCTGTGCTGACAGTTGGGGAGAGGACACTAAGTGGTTGTGGAGTCCCAACATGATGGGAGGCTAGAGAAAAAAAACTACAAAAAATGGCTTTTGCCCCAGATGGCTCACTTGAGATGTTTGTAAGAATTGCTTCCTTAGTATTCTATAGCTGTGACGAGGAGGCGGCCAAGGAGAGAAAACAAAGAGACTGAGAAAAAGCAGCTGCTTTCACGGCAGCACTAAGAGAAACAGACCCTAAATCTGATTCTTGGGGCCCCAAGAAGAACTTGACGACTACATTCATGTGCTACTACTGTTAAAAGCCAGGCCACCTCAAGAAGAACTGTCCTAAGAAGCCTTCTGGGCCATGCCCTGAATGCAAATGTGACCACTGGAGATCGGTCTTCCCTCTGAAGCAGAGGCCCCAGAGCTCAGATCCATCCTACCAGTTAGTCCAACAGGAATGAGGGGTCCCAGGGCATACTCTGCCCTCTTTCACTGGCCAGACTGTCATCTCCATGGAGGAGCCCTGGGTAATCATGACTATGGAGGAACAAGAAAACAGCCTGTTGCTAGACACAGGTGCAAGTCTCTCAGTCCTTCTTTTCAAACCTGGCCTTCCTTCCAGCTGTCACACCTCAGTGAAAGGAGTCACTGGTGAGGAGGTAATATGTTATTTTTCACAACCCTTAGGCTGTAACTACTTGTTAGATCTTTCTTACGTATCTCTGTCTTCCTGAGAAACCACTTTGAAGATACCACTATGTATCACAGCAGCCATTGATATTTTCCTACTAATCTCTCCATAACTCTGTAATGTTTATATTGTTCCTATGCTATTTTGTACATGGATGTATGTTTATTATTATGTGTTTCCTACAACAACCACTGAGAATAATCAATGATTATTCAGTTGGTCACTCATGTATAGCTCTATTTATTTTCTTTAGAAGCCACTTTGAATATACCAAAGTATAGTACAGCAACTATTGATAATCTCCTACCACTTTTGTCTGTAACTCACTATTATTTGTCTATTTGTTTTCCTAAGAAACTATCTTGTAGATAGCAATATGTAAAACAACAACCATTGATAATTTCCTACCACTCTGTCTGTAATTTGGTAAGCCCCCACTATTACTATGTTATCCTTCTTTTACTCTTTAAAATTAAAAAAAAA